TTTCAATCTAGCATCATTTGTATGAAACAGTGGTTTCCATTCACTCTTTGTAATATAAACGCACTTTTAAATTTTTTCTATTAAAATCGTGGGCAAAAAACACGTTCTAACATTGAAAAGTGTAGATTATAACCTTCCTTTCATACAAATAATAGAGGATTAAAAAATAAGTAAAATCATGAATTTTAAAAAAAAAAAAAAGTTAAGATATCAGGGTAAGATGGTAGAAAATTCCATTTTTGTCTGAGAGCAGCCGATTTAGACAAAAAAATAAACGTCAGGTCTTCAACCACTCTCGTCTTAATGCATACTGGCTACATATATAGTCGTAAATGGATTTTAGATTAGTAAGACAGTGCCCACTTTTCCCACAAGACAACGACTCAAAACACATTTGCTATTCTACGTGTTAGTATCTCTAGAAATAATGGTGTCCCAATTTAGGATTTTGGAGTATTATTTTTGAAATAATGCATTAGTACGATACAAATCCAAAAATTACACTATCAATTAACAGGAATGATAAATAAATAGAATTAGTATCTAGCATAAATAACCCGTTTTTAATACGACAAATTTGATCTAATATTTTCCTATCTTATCTAGTACTATATGAGTTGTTCTAGAACTATATGATTTTTTTCCATTTTATTGGATAAAAAACTACTAAGTAGCACGACTGAATGAGTGACGAGAAAGGCTAAAGAAGAGCTTAATTGAATTGTAAGAACTAAAATGTGAAAATTGGTGACTTATTGAAAAACTAGCAATAACATCATGTTTGAAGACATTATACAATATTAAAAATCGAGTTGATTTTGAAATATTTGTATTTGAAATAATAATTTAATTTTTTTAATTACTTAAGTTAAAATTAAAATGAAGAGAGAGTAGGTGTGAATTGATGTAATTGTTTAATATTGAGGAGTCTGTTAATTGAGCTGTCTGAAATTGGTGGTCATGTACAAAGATTAACTGTGTCAGCGTTGACATTGGTGTAACGATTATACTATGTCAGCGTTGGCAAAACTATGTGATGTTACCATCTAATACAAAACTTAGAAAATGAATAAAGTAAACCTCTCTTTTCACACAGAGTGGTGCACATTATATGAATGGGAGGTTATTGAAATTAGTGGACAATTACACCATATAACACTTATGTCGTGATATAATCATTACGTGACATTTGAATACTATACCAAAGGGGTTTGTATTTTAACCATAGCCGGTTTGTGTGGTAAAAAAAAATAGATCCATCAATGACTTGTCAAACAAATGAGTCAATAAACTTGACTAAACACGATTATAAGTGACATGAAATTCATAAAGCGAATTAAACAATACACAAATATTAATAAATTAGATAGATATTGAACAAATTTGGACAAGGCTCAACTTAGACGGTTTGAAAGCATGATACAACACAAGATATGTTGACGATCCTAAAATAGTGGTCATTGAACGGGTCAAGATCTATGTTAATATATTCTTCTTTCAATTATATCAATGTTATATTAATTATAGAATATATCGTTCCGCACGCTTCATCAATACATAATCTAATAGGACTATTGGTCAAATTTATCATTTCACTTTAAATTTCTAAAACGAGTGGAGAATGAGTTCTTTTAGCTGTGTTATTTGTATGAAAACACAGCTATAATCTGCACTTTTCAAGGTAAGAACGTGTTTTTTGCCCACGATTTTAATTGAAAAAAAATTAAAAGTGCGTTTATATTACAAAGAGTGAATGGAAACCACTGTTTCATACAAATGATGCTAGATTGAAAAACAAGTTTGAAATCAATATATTTGGAAATTGATTACACTATAATTTTTATACATGGTAGTTTAGAACTACCATAAAAAAGAAAAAAGAAAGAAAAAAAAAAAAGAAGCAAAAATTGGATTTGAGACTTCCTTAAGAAACTTGTAATGAGTTTAGTCTGTCAAGGAAAACCTTCTAATGACTTAAAAACAGTCTTCAATATTAAATCAATTTTCTAAACAGTTATCCATTGATTCATGCTTAATGGAAGATTTTGTTGATTTTTTCTACAAAATCTGAAATTCAAATTTACCCCTTAATTCAATGTTAATAGAGATATGCAATAAAATCTTTATCATAAATTTGAAATTCAAATCCCAGTTAAGCTATTCTCTCTCCTCTTCGTTCTCACTGGCAGATATTCATGCTCTCCAGAGCAATAGCAGCATGATGCTCTCTTCGCTGCCATGGACGGACCAATAGCAGCCTCATGATCTCTTCGCTGCCATGGATAGAGCAGTAGCAGCATCAACCCAACAGCCGAGGTCGGGGAAGACTTTGAAAGACGGACCAAAGAAATAAGAAATGCAATGCTATGTAATTCAAATATACATCCCAAATACAGGGGATTATTGGATCAGTGAGTCTCATTTAAAAAAGTTGATGGAACTCACTCATTCAACGGTCCCCTTAATTTGCGATACAAATTTGAATTGTAAATTTGGGATTCATAGTATTTCTCAAATAAGAATAGAAGCAATGGTAATTGAAAATTCCTGGAAAATTCCTGGTTATTTATTGTAGAATCAATAGTATGCTACCTTTTAGAGATAGATATTTGATCGTAACAGGTAATTTCTTCGAGGTCTACAGTGTTGTTATTTTTTGTTAATATTGAATATTATTATTTTTTGTTTTGATTGTTACTATTTTTTGTTTTATTTTTTTAAATATTCATATTCAATGTTACTATATTTTGTAATTTTTTGTTGTGAATGTTACTATTTTTTGGTAAGTATATTACTGTTTTCTTGCCTATTCATCAGCAATTGCCTATGTTACTAAGCGTTCTTTAGTTATTATTCAATTTGACTAATTTTTTTTAGAATATTAGTATCGAATGCTATTTGTTTTTGAAATGCTATTATTGGATATTAATATTTTTTGTGTTTTGAATCGCACTATTTTTTCTTTTAAATATTAATATTTTTTGTGTTTGAATGTTATTATTTATCTCATATATATGTGTGTGTGTGTGAGAGAGTGAGAGAGAGAGAGAGAGAAATATTTGAAAAAATTTCATCCACACCCCTAGTAGTTAAGTTTAAATTTAATGATACTCCCTCCCGATTCTGAAATTTCACTGCACACCCTTCTGGTTTATACTTTTAAATCAATAACACCCCCTTAATGGTAACTTTTGCCTCTACGAGTTGGTAAAGTAATGATTTAACTAAATATTTTGTGAAAATGTCAAAATTACCTTTTTGTTATATAAATAGACTAAAATACCCACAATCATTTTCTCATTATATATGTCCTAGCCAGTTATAAAGCATAATTTCTATTATTATATTATTCCAATAAATTTTTATCATTTAAAACGTTGCATGATAATTTTTTTATAATATTAGTAATTATGTTATCACTCATTTGGTTACATAACCCAGTTTTTATAATTTTTATAGTTAAAAACGATTTTTCTATAATAAAAATTACTATTGATAAAGTCAATGTCAAAATTTCATCAATTTCTAATTCATATGTTATCGTATGTCCTCCACGTGTCACACAACCACTCTTCACACATCACCTTTTATATATTAAATTTAAATATTATTTGATAAAATTTAATATTAATTGAATAAATTTGGTTTTAATTTGATAAATTTAAATATTGATTTAGATATTAATATTAGTCCAACTCCTAAAATTTAAGAGTTGGTAATTTTCAAATTAAATATAACTATTAGTGGTATTTTGGACAATAAAAATAAAAATAAACTTATTTCAAAATAAGTTTTTCTGAGTTGACTTAAATCTAAATAAGGCCATAGAGGACCGACTTCTAAATTTTTCTAATTTAATATACAATACAATTGAGGGAAAAAGAAACCTATATTTATGTGAATCGAGATCCCATCACGAAATTTTCTGCTCAATTAATACTGCTAGTTGATTTTGTGGTCCTCCTCATGCATAAAGAATGTTTTGCTCAATTAACTTATTTATTTGGCGAGTTGTTGATGGATCTATTTTTTTATCACACAAACTGCTATGGTTTAAACACACTCAAACTCCATTGGTTCTATCACAATTTTGGCATTGTTTTCAAATGTAATGTAACAATTACACAATGTTAGCAATGTCAATATGGTATAATTGTTCCATTATAAGTGCATAAATAGATAAGTAAACCCCACAAATTTCAATAACCACTCATTCGTATAATGTGCACCACTCCATGTGAAAAGAGGCTTACTTTATTCATTTTTTAGGTTTTTTATTAGATGGTGACATCACGTAACACTTTTAATGCTGAAATGGTAGAATTGTTACATGCAATATTTGCTCCAAAAATTGATACGTCTGCACATTTTTTGCATTTTACCTTGACAAAAAATGACATGGTGACATTCAAGTTACAAAATAACACATAAGAGAGTTCAAACTCAGAAATGGAGTGGATGTCTAGTGTGCTTACCTGGCTGAGTGTTTCTTTCTTAGCTTCTCTTCTTCTATTATTCACGTGGACTAAGGCCGCGAAAGGCTCTTCAAAACAGCGACCACCAGGGCCACCAGGATGGCCAATTGTTGGCAACATGTTCGATCTAGGAACCATGCCACACCAGACCTTCTACAAATTAAGGGCCAAGTATGGACCTGTTCTCTGGCTAAAGCTTGGTTTAGTAGACACTATGGTCATACAATCTGCCAAGGCTGCTGCTGAGTTATTCAAGAACAATGACCTTCCTTTCTCGGACCGCAAAGTTCCCAAGGCACTCACAGCCTTAGGCTACAACCAAGGATCATTGGCTATGGCCCAGACTGTCGCATACTACGACGACTCTGCTCCATGGAGCTCTTGGTTAACAAAAGACTCCACGAGTCGGCTCCGATCAGGCAAAAGTGCATTGACAAGATGGTCGAGTGGATAGAGGAGGATTCAGCATCGTCGAGTGTCCAGGGTGGATCGGGTGGTGTGGAACTAGTTAGGTTCCTTCACATCATGTCTTTCAACCTTGTTGGGAACCTTATGTTGTCAAGAGATCTCTTGGACATGCAGTCTGTGGCAGGGCACGAGTTTTTCGAAGCCATGAACATGTTCATGCAATGGGCTGGGAAACCTAATGTGGCAGATTTTTTCCCCTTCTTGAAATGGCTCGACCCACTAGGGATCAAGAGGAATATGATCCGCTATATGGGAGGATGCATGAAGGTTGTCGCTGGATTTGTTGGTGAGAGGGTTCATGAGAAGGAATCAAGAAGAGAGAAGGTAAAAAAAGACTTCTAGGACGCATTGTTAGAGTATGAAGGTGATGGAAAAGAATGGGCCTGACAAAATTTCAAAGAAGAACATGAACATCATAATCCTGATAATACAATGCTAACGCCCTTCTGTTGTTAATAATTTTTACCGAAAGTTACTATTTTTTGAGGATAAGTTATACATCTTAAAAATAAAATTCCAACTACATGAAGTGATTCATGATGGATCATGAAGAGTTTTTAATCAATTGAAACTTCACATTTTAAATGTGTAACTATATCTTTAAAACGAACAAAGTATTACTTGCCTGGATGGGATCAATGGGTGATCAAGAAGGACCGTGGCCTAGGTTGGGGACTTCCATTGCACTCGGGAGGGGTGTCTTCCTAATGTCTATCCAAGTGGTGGAGCCTATGTCATAATTGGTCAAAGTGGGGGCCTGCGTTCGCGCGACCCCTGTTTTATATATATAAGATGCAATTTTCATAATCGATCATTTAACTAAAGTTCTAATGGTACAGGAAATGTTTTTAGCTGGATCAGAAACTACAAGCAGCACTATTGAATGGGCAATGGCAGAGCTATTACACAGACCTGACTCAATGAGTAAGGTTAAGGAAGAGCTTGATCGAGTCATAGGACCTCACAAGAAGGTCAAAGAGAGTAACATGGTTGGATTGCCATATTTGCAGGCAGTTGTGAAAGAGACCCTTCGATTGCATCCCTCTGTTCCTTTAATGCTTCCACGGAACACAATGCAAGACACAAACTACATGGGCTATCTCATACCCAAAAGCACACAAGTGTACGTAAGTGCATGGGCAATTGGAAGAGACCCTGATGCTTGGGATGACCCTTTGAATTTCAAACCTGAGAGGTTTTTAGGCTCTGATATTGAGTACAAGGGGCAGCACTTTGAGTTGATTCCATTTGGCTCTGGAAGACGAATTTGTGCAGGCTTTTTCCTGGCTTATAGAGTGCTTAACCTTGCTCTAGCCGCCTTGCTTCAGTCTTTTGACTGGGACCTTGATGGCCATCTGACACCAGAAACTATGGACATGAAGGAGAGGATGGGAATAAGTCTGAGGAAACTAGTTCCCTTGAAAGTAATACCCAAAAAACCAGTGGTATGATGATGAAATGATTGCAGGCAATTGGAAATGTGCTCAAACTCTTGCTGGATAAAAAAAATAAAAAACCCAAAAATCCCGTGTATGCTAAACACATAGCTCCACTGACAAGCTGAAATTGTCTGTTAATGTCGTAAGAAAATGAAAGCATGTTAACTAATCAAACTGAAGTCATTTGTACTTTCTCCTACTTGAAAAATGCAGGGGTGGTAGTTATGCTGAATTTCTAGTTATTCGCAGTAGTCTCTAGCGGCAGAGATTTTTCACCTTCCTTGGGGATAGTAGTTCTTTCTGAAAACTTTCCCATAATCTGTTTGGAACCAAAAAAACTCGTCAGTCTCAAAAGTATCCACATCCACTATGGTAATTATTTTTTTCATTTTGTAGCTGAATAACTTCATAAATTAGACAAGGTATTTTGTTAACTACATTTGCACCAAGTAGCAGAAGCTGTTGATCATGTGCTTACCTTCTGAAAAGTTGCTTTCAAGCAAGCCTTGTGTTCTTCCATAGGAGAGTGGATTAACTCATGAAGGTGATGCCTCAAATTGGAGACAAAGATATCATTATCAGACTTATTCCTTTGACAATAAGTGACAGTTGGAGTTGGTGCAGACTCAGTAAGGCTTTTTTCAGCATCCAATCTTTCTATAACCTTGCAGAGAGGCATTATTTAGTTTCTTCCCAACAAAAAAAATTGAAAAATGCAGAAGAGTAACATAAAACTGTATCCAGGCCCCAAAAAAACAAACTACCATTGTGACATTGTCCATTTATATGGACTCATGACTCACAAAAAATTATGCTACTAAAACTTCTTTTCAAAAATTTAGATATTATTGGTGCAATGTGGAGGGTCATGATTACAACCATACCGTCCCGAGGGAAATAATTCATATTGTCTAATAAACCATTCAAATCAAATTCACTCATGAAATCATAGACCCTTCTACCTCATTATTGTACTTGCAAAAACAATTAAAACCATGTATGCTAACCAGAGAGCTCAACATACAAACTGCAATTGTCTGTCAAAATCATAAAGAAGAAGAAAGCCTGTTAACTAATCAAACTAAACTCATTTGTACTCTCACTTAATTGAAAAATGCATGAATTGGACTTATACTGAATTTCTAGTTCTTCGCAGTTGTATCAAGGGGCAAAGAATTTTCACCTTCTTTGGGGCCAGTAGTTCTTTTTGAGAACTTTCCCATTATCTGTTTGACTAGAAATATTTGTGAGTAAAATGAGATATAAACTAAATGTAGAACCTCCGTATATATAGCCAATAAAAATTACAATAAGGATAAAAAGATAAAAAGGTAAAAAAGAAAAAACTTAATAAACCCTAATAAACTAAGATGTTATATCTCCAACACTCCCCCTCAAGCTAGGCGCAAAAATGTCAACTAAGCCAAACTTGACAATTGAGTCCCGAAGAATGGATAGAGAGACAGGTTTGGTGAAAACATTTGTAACCTGATCACTAGTCCCCACAAACGATAGAGTGACAATACCACTATTAACCTTCTCCCAAAAAAAGAAAACATTGATCTCTATATGCTTCGTCCTCTCGTGTAATACAGAGTCAGAAACGAGCTGAATAACAGATCGATTATCACAATATAATATAGATGAAAAAGTCACTGAAAATCCCAACTTGTCAAGAATCGATCGTAGCCAGATAATCTCACATGTGCCAAGTGCTAGTGTCTGATACTCTGTCTCTGCTGACAAGCGAGAGACAACTGACTGCTTCTTGCTCTCCCAAGAGATAAGATGAATCCCTCGAAAAGCACAGAAGCCCGTAGTAGATCAACCGTCACATGTTCCCCCATAATCTAAATCTGAATAACAAGCTAGAGAACCAATCTGAGATCCAGATGCATAGAACAACCCAAGTCCATAACAAGACTTGAGGTAACGAAGAATATGATAAACTGCATCACGATGAGGCTGACATGATCTGTGCATGAACTGACTAACTCGGCTTACAGTGAATGAAATGTCTGGCCTAGTGTTAGCTAGGTAGATAAGTCTACCTACCAACCTCTGATAGACTATCAAATCTCTCAACTCCTCATCTTCAGCAGTAAGCTTCAGATTTTGAATCATGGGTGATGATACCGGTTTGCACCCCAGCATCCCAATGTATGAGAGAAGATCTAGAACATACTTTCTCTAAGAAAGAACAATACCTATGCTGCTATGAGCAACCTCAATTCCAAGAAAGTATCGCAAAAATTCAAGATCCTTCACATCGAAGGCCTTCCCAAGGTCTACCTTAACCTGCGCAGTCCCAGAAACATCATCTCCAGTAATAATAATATCATTAACATATATCAAAAGGATGACACACTGTCCGAAAGTATTCCGTCGAATGAAGCAGGTATGATCAGAATGACATTTGGTGAACCCTAAACATACAACTACATCTCTAAATCGAGAAAACTAGGCTCGTGGTGATTGTTTCAGTCCATAAAGAGACTTACGCAATCGACAAACCTTTTTAGCATACTCCCCTTCACCACGAAAGCCCGGTGGTGCATCCATATAAATAATCTCGTCCAGATCACCGTGAAGAAATGCATTCTTCACATCTAACTGATAAAGAGGTCAAAAGTATTTCACAACCAGAGAAATAATCAGTCGAACAATAGTCAATTTTACCACCGGGGGCAAAGGTAGCACCAAAATCACGACCTGGTAATTGAGTAAAACCCTTCACCACAAGCCTAGCCTTGTGACAATCAATAGTACCATCCGCAAGAAACTTCAGGGTATAAACCCAGCGACAGCCAACAGGCTTCACCCCTGAAAGTAAAGAGGCAAGATCTCACGTATGATTACGCTGAAACGACGCCCTAAATCATCATCCTCCACTGATAATGTCTCATCAGATAAAATAATTGGCTCAGTACCTACAATCTCATCAGTACTAACAACAGGTGCATCAATATACTGAACAAACTGAGAAGTATTACCTGCATTGTCTGGGGTAGAGGGGACATCAGCAGGGGGATGAAAGCGAGGACGACGAACATAAACCTGCAAAAGAATAAAGACTGATGACTCTATACTGACAGGGATGAGTGGCTCTGGAGGAGGGGAGACCGATGACCCTGTAGTGATAGTGACCAATGACTCTGACTCTGGTGGTAATGGAAAATCAAAGGGAGTATCATCAACTAGAGGGGAGACACAGGACTGGAAGAAAAATAAGGATATATTCAAAGAAGGTAATATCTAGACTATGATACATACGTCGTCTGACAGGATCATAACATCGATACCCCTTAGACTGATGACAATAGCACACAAAGACACAACGAATCGCTTTATCATCAAGCTTATGACGAGTAGGAGATCGATCTTGAACAAAACATGTACAGCCAAAAACACGAGGGGGGACCAAAAAAAGTGTTCGCTCAGGGAATAAGACCTGTAAGGGAGCCTTATGTTGAAGAACACGACTCGGTGTACGATTGTACAAAAAAGTAGAAGTCACAAAAGTAAAATGTCAATAAAATTTTGGTACCCCCATACTTCTAAGCATACAACGTACCATCCTTATCATACTTCTATTATTCCTTTCAGCAACTCCATTTTGCTCAAGATTATATGGACAAGTGAGCTGCTGAAGGATAACCTGAGAAGAAAGGTGAGAAACTAAGGCATCAAACACATATTTTTTGGCATTATCCGAATGAAGAGCACGAACAATGACATCGAACTATGTTTTAATCATCTAAAAAAATTAAGTAATGACAGGGAGTACATCAGACTTCCTATGCAAAAGGTAGACCCAAGTACAACGGGTATGGTCATCTATAAATGTCACATAGTATCGGGCACTTGACAGAGCAGTAACAGGAG